GCCCGAAGCGGGAGAGAGGAAATGTGTAGCGCGCCTAATTCGCGCAGACATCTGATGGCCAGAAGAAGGTAGTCCACATTAAACTAATAAAATGATGCATGTTACAGGTTCGTCTGAATGAGGAGGAGGAGGAGGAGGAGGGGGGGGGGGGGGAGGGGGAGGGGGAGGGGAGGAGTGGAGGGGGAGGGAGGAGGAGGAGGAGGAAAGGAAGAAGGAGGAGGAGGAGGAGGAGGAGAGGAGGAAGAAGAAGGAGGATGGAGAAGAAGAAAGAAAAGAAGAAGAAGAAGAAGGAGGGAGAGGAGGAGGAGGAGGAAGCTAGCAGATGTCTGGGGGCTTCGTCACAACATAGCGAGAGAGGTTTCCTTTTTGGGGGATGTCACATGGAGCGCGCATAGTATTGAAATATCTTTTTGTGTTCTTTTTTATTATATGTTTTGTTGTGCTATTACGTACTGTCGTAGAGTACTTATTGGATATACGGGCATCTAAATGTTCGTATTTACTATAGACATTTTTATTAAGGTTAAAACATAGAGGAAAAAAAATTCAAACAAATTTAAAATGGTATCTCTTTATAGAAATATATAAAATATGTGCTTTCTTCTAATCATGACAAATTTCAAATTATAATTATTGCCTTTTACCGAATGCACTTAATTATAGTCTTATCAAAGGTCTCACGTATCACAAATAGAATGAATTGAAGGAGAAACTAGTCGTGCCAGGAAAGTTAACGAACGGTTTAGAAGAGAGAGAGAGAGAGAGAGAGAGAGAGAGAGAGAGAGAGAGAGAGAGAGAGAGAGAGAGAAGGAGAGAGGAGAGAGAGAGAGAGAGAGAGAGAGAGAGAGAGAGAGAGAGAGAGAAAGAGAGAGAGAGAGGAGAGAGAGAGAGAGAGAGAGAGAGAGAGAGAGAGAGAGAGAGAGAGAGAGAGAGAGAGGAGAGAGAAGAGAGAGAGAAAGAGGAGAGAGAGAGAAGAGGAGAGAGAGAGAAGAGAGAAGAGAGAGAGAGAGAGAGAGAGAGAGAGAGAAGACAGACAGAAAGAAGTAGAGAGAGAGAGGGAGACAGACAGCAAAGAAGTAGAAACAGACAATAATATAAAAAAAAAAAAAAATCCACGACCCATTGAGTTAATGAAAGTTTAAGAGAGAAAAAAAAAAGAGAGAGAGAGTTGACCCGGCCTACGGAACCAGCTGACGAGGCAGGTCACGAGGTCGCCGAGAACCCTAGGCTTTCTCTAGGCTGGATCGTCGACCTTCCCTCCATCTGACGTGTGAGCCGTCGACTTTCATCGAAGTTGTGGGTCGATCAATTCTGTAAGAGTGTGTACTAAAGGAACACATACATTTACACAATACCATACATACATATACTCATCACACATATACATACATACTCTGATACACACACATATACATACTCTCACACACTCTGATACACTCACATATGATACACTCACATATGCATATACTTTCACATACACATATACGTACACATACACTTTCACACATATACATATATATACACATACACTTTCACATACACATATACACATACGCATACACTTTCACACACATATTCATAAACATTCACTTTCACACACATATATACATACACTTTTCACACACACCATACACATAAGCTTTCCTACACACACGTATATACATATATACAAATAGATAAATAGATAAATAGATAGATAGATAGATACACTGGTTTTCTATATTTGATCTATGAATGACCGTTACTTTGTATTTAAATTCGTAGGCCTAAAGAATACATAACGACATTCAATTCAGTTTTTTTAGTAATAATATTTCTTATGATTTACGATAATTTATATTTTACAGTATATATTTATATTTTTTCATCAACGTAATTTTGTGTTGTCTTGATCCTCGTCTTTCTTCCTTTCTATTAATCCTCTCCTTTTATCTCCTCTTCCTCTTCCTCCTATTTCTATTTCAATGGCTTCTTTTCTTCTTTTCTTGTTCTCTTTCCTTTCTCTCTTTGTCCTCTTCTTTTCACTTTCTAACCCCTTCTCTCCTCTTAATCTCTTATTCTTCTATTTCTCCTCCTCCTTCTCCTTCTTTATCTCCTTTTCTTCTTCTTCTTATCTCCTCTTCCTTCTTCTTTATCCTCTCCTTCATCATTACCTTATCTCTTCCTCCTTCTTCTTCTTTATCTCCCCCTTCCTCTTCTTTATCTCCCTCCTTTTCATCTTCCTTATCTTTCTCCTCCTCCTCCTTATTCACTCTCCCCCTCTTCCTGCTCTTGACCCATTCTCCATTCTTCACCCTTCTCCTCTCTCCTTTTCTCCTCCTACCTCTTCGCCTCCTTCCCTTCTCTTCTTTTTCATCTCCTTCTCCGTCAACTCCTCCCATTTCCTCCTCCTTCTTTCTCTTCTTTTCCTCTCTCTCGTCCCCCATATCGTCCTCTTTCTTCACTTCTCTCCTCCCCTCCTTTTCTTCCTCTCCTCCTCTCTTCTCATCTTCTCCTCCTTCTTCACCTTCTTCTCCTCCTCCTCACCTCTCTTTTCCCACTATTCTCCCTCTCTTTCTCATCCCACTTCGAACACAATGAAAAGTGCATTGGCGTAAAAAAAAAAAGAAAAAGGGGGGGGGGACTCCGGGTGATATCTTTGGCTTTTACAAGGCAGGGGGTCTGGTGAGGTAGGGGGAGGGGAGGGGGAGGGGAGGGGAGGGGGAAGGGAGGGAAAGCTGGGGTGTATGTTTAAGAATTTTCCTCAAGTGACTGTTTTTTTAAAGGTCTTTTTTTCAGTTTAAACGTGTATATCTTATCCAGGTAAATAAACTGGTAATAAATATTTGTCCATTAGAGTGAGTGAGTGAGTGTGAGAGAGAGAGAGAGAGAAGAGAGAGAGAGAGAGAGAGAGAGAGAGAGAGGGAGGAGAGAGTGAGGGAGGAAGAGAGAGAGAGAGAGAGAGAGAGAGAGAGAGAAAGAGAGAGAGAGAGAGAGAGAGAGAGAGAGAGAGAGAGAGAGAGAGAGAGAGAGAGGAGAGAGAGAGAGAGAGAGAGAGAGAGATAGAGGAGGGGAGAGTGAGAGATAAATATGTGTATATACATATACATATATATATATATATATATATATATATATAATATATATATATATATATATATATATATATGTATGTATGTATGTATGTATATGTATATAGTTACGAAAAGTCCAGCGTGTGGATAATGCAGGCGCCACAGGGAGGCGGCGGAGCATGAGCGGCCATAGCATCCGCTCTCCTTCCCTCAAACCAGAGATCATAGCTGTTCTCTAAGGTTTCCTCCCCTACCTCCCCTCCCCCGCCAACAACCCTCCCTTCCCCCCCCCTTCTCCCTTCCCGCACTCACACACCAACAGTCACCACACGAACGCACTAGCGCACGAACGCACGCACGCAGGCTGGCCCAGGTCGGTAACCACAGCAAGGGGCGACGCTCTCTCGCGGGCCAGAGTTGTCCGGGACGCCGCGCTGTGAGGACGCTCCCCGACCCGCAGCCGTGACTTGACTCCTTCGCTGTCACGCTCCTCGAGTCCCGTTGCCGCTTCTGGCGCTGTGTTGGATTCTGCTGCTGACTGTGCCGGGCCTTGCTGTGCTATAGTTGCCTGCAGTGTTGGAGGTCGAGATACAGCAGTGCTTGGAAAGCTTAGAGAAAACTGTTGACGGTGTGGAAGACAGTCTTTTGGTGCTGTGCAGAGTGACTCCTGAACGGCGTGTGAGAACGCAGGATTTTGACGCAAGAGTGATGGGAGAGCTGTGTGTGGAGGGCATCAGAAGAGATCAAATCATGGCTTTGCCGAGTGTCCTGAACTACAGAATCTGGTCCTCCACGGGGCCTCGAAGCCTGCCGAGCCTGGCGAGGCGAGGGCCAAGCACCAAGCTGCGGAAGAGCCTGTTCGGCCCCGTCGACCACGCCGAGAACCTGCGATTCGTGCGCGAGGAGCTGGACAAGATCTCGCGAGAGGACTCCGAGCGGTGGAACTTCGACTTCGCGGCGGAGCAGCCCCAGGAGGGACGCTACGAGTGGACGGCCGTGGGCGACGCTGCTGCGACAGAGTCCAGTCAGCCCACGCGACTCACCTGCCTCACCGCCTCCGCCAACAACAAAAAGCAAGTGAAGCGTCTGCAGACCTCCCCGCCGGGCAAGCTGAAGCAAACCCTGTGCACCGACTTCTTCAGACTCAGCTCCGCGAAGACCCGAAGCGCGTTCAGTGCCGACACCAAGCTCGTCGACAGTGCCAAATACGCCCGCTTGAGGTTGTCGGAAACCTCGCTCTCCGAGAGCAAGGAAAACACCACCTTAAACCATAGAGAAAATGCAAATAACTGTGTGGAAATGAGATGAATAGAATAATGGGATGATTGTGTGAACTGCAGGCAGGAGGCGTCAGTGCGTGCGGTGCGGCGACCAAGCTTTAAGCTCCCGGTGCAAAACTCTACGGAAGATCTCTCCCTAAGTCGCACCGCTCGCTCGCTCGGCGCTCTCGACTGCCAGTGAGACAGAACCAAAGAAAAACTGCAACGAGATCTCATTCTTTGAACTTTATTATCATTACTATTGCTGTTATTGTTATTATTATTATTGCTACACCATTGCTTTTGTTATTATTATCATTATCATTATTGTTTTTATTATTATTATCATCATCATCATTATTATCATTAATATTATTATTATTATTACCATTATTACTATTGATAGTGACATTAACACCTATTGTTATCGTGTGAATGTTCTTGCTTATCTAGACATATGTAAGTTGATACTTTTTTGTGTGTCTGGATGTCTGTCCTGCTTCGTGACATCAGAGTGACGTCACTGCGCCTATTTGAAGTACAACTCACATCCGGAAAAGGGTTCGTGTGCGTCTTCGTACACACCGACCCAATACAGACATGGACCCCCCCCTCCTCCCCCCCAACCGGAGGCATTATCTACCTGCGGAGTATCTATCTATCGGTGCTCCTGTTCGTGGGCGCGTCGCTGCATCATCTTGAAGCCGCGGACGAGAAGCCTGCGACGGTATTGCAACAAGGGGATGCGCCGGGTCCATCTTGCAACACTCGAGACTTAGTACCTGCTGATTTTTTTTTTTTACCTGACACGTGGACGAAACTTCAATCTGCATTAGACATCATCTACCAGATTCTACCAGACGACTTTCAACTTCCGGGTCTATTCTACTTTAACTACTACCATCACCTGTGCTAAATCCAGTTCGTGTGATGGCGTGGAATTTTGTACATCTTGTTCACGTGTACATTTTCTCAAAAGCCTGATCTCGCTAGTAACTTTTTAAGGATATTTAATTCTATTGTACATAAGAGTTTTTTTTCTCATATATTTTGTGATGCCAAACTTTTTATTTTTGTTCTTAATGATTCCCTTTCATTAGGGAAGAAATTTATGAATAAATCATATGTGTTTTA